GACCACACAGGTCGTGGGATGACATGAAAGATAGAAAAGACCAAAATGGATGTCAGCAGAGACTCTGAAACTTGCTCTTGAAAATGTTGTTGTTGTTGTTATGTGCCGTCGAGTCGGCCCCGACTCATAGCGACCCCTCCTTGGGTTTCCGAGGCAGTATCACTACGGAAGTAGGATTGCCCAACCTTCCTTCCGAGGAGTGGCTGGTGGGTTTGAACCGCCAGCCGTCTGGTTAGCAGGCAAGTGTCTTAGCCACTATGCTACCAGAGAAGAGCTAAAAAGAATGGAAGAAATGATGAAGTAAAAGAGCTGAACGAAAGATTTCAAAGGCCAGTTCAAAAAAGACAAAGTATTATAATAAAATGTGCAAAGACCTAGAGTTACAAAATGAAAAGGAAAGAACACACAATTTTTTAAGCAGAAAAAATTCAAGCCTTGAGTTGCAACACTAAAGAATTCTATGGGCAAAATACTGAATGATAGGAGCTCTGGTAGCATAGTGCCTAAGGCACTTGACTGCTAACCAGAAGGCTGGCGGTTCAAAACCACCAGCCACTCCTCGGAAGGAAGGTTGGGCAATCCTAATTCCGTAGTGATACTGCCTCGGAAACCCAAGGAGGGGTCGCTATGAGTCGGGGCCGACTCGACGGCAAAACAACAACAACAACAACAACATAGGAAATATCAAAAGAAGAGGGAAAGAACTGTGTTGTCAGTGAAGGCAAACATGGATATATGGGTGGGAACTATTAAGTATGTCTATGCAGGAGGGAGTGTGCCCAAGACCATATACAGGGTTAGTAGACAATTTTCTACAAGTGTATTGGTATGTTCTGTAAGAATTCCCAGGTATATAGTAGAGCTGACAAGAGACAAGGTTGTAGTCACTTCTTGGCTACAACCAGCTACCCAGAGGGAGTGAGTAGTTGAACCTGTGGGCTCGGGACCATAGTCGCAGGGGACATCAAGCTCATTGGCATAATATAGTACACAAAACATTGTTCCACATCCTACTTTGGCAAGTAGCGACTGGGATCTTAAAAGCTTGCAAGAAGCCATCTAAATGCAATGATGCGTCTCTCCTCATCCAGAGCAAAGAAGAATGAAGAAAACCAAAGATTCATGGAAACAATTTGTCCAAGTGACTGGTACACCATGCAGTCCTCAGCCTACATGACTATGAGACCAGAAGAACTAGATGGTGCCTGGCTACCACTGTCAACCACTCGAAGGGGGATCTATGTAGGAGATCCTAGATAGTGTGGGAGAACAATGTAGAACAAAACTCAAAATCATTTGGGGGGAAAAATAAAGGGACAAAGTTTGCTGGTCTGATAGAGCCTGGTGGAACTACTAAGACTATAGCCCCTAGCTGCCCTTGAGGTCTGGAATTGAACTCATTCTTGTGGCTTCCAGCCAAACAAAAGACAGGCATACAAGGTGAACATTTACCCTAGGTAGATACACTCCTTGGAGAAAACAATCATGGGAGAATAGAAGGGCTGTATATGCACAGGGAGACAGCTCAGGGGACAGGAGTGCATGGAAGGATGTACACAGGGAAGAGGTAACTATGGGGAGGAAGTAGGAGGGGAGCTGTTGCACTGTGGTAAATTGTAGTCAATATCATGAGACAAAGTGCATCTGAAATGCTGTATGGAAAGTGAATTTGCTCTGTAAACTTTCACCCAAATCACAATATAAATAAATAAATAAATAAGAAGATGGAAAGAATACACAGAGTCATTGTACAAAAAAGAACTGCTCAACATTCAACCATAAGAGGAGGTAGCATATGATCAAGAACTGATGGTATTCGAGAAAGAAGTCCAAGCTGTACTGAAAGCATTGGCAAAAAAAAACAAGGCTTGAAATAACTGCTTCCTTTGGTGTGAGACCAGAAGAACTGGATGGTGCTCAGCTACCATTACTGAACGTTTTAATCAAAGATTCCATGGAGGGAAAATGTAGAACAGAATTTCAAATTCTCAAGGACTCCAGACTTCCTGGAGCCATGAATGTTGGATGAACCCCCGAAACTACTTCTCTGGGATAATTTTTAAGCCTTAAAACAAAAATACCCCCTGATATTAAAACCAAACAATAGTTCAGCTTAACTAGTAAAGATGTCTGCATTACGTTCTTTTAAGAACTATTTATATGGGAACAAATTGACAATGACAAGTTGAAAGATTACATAGGAACCTCAAGGAGAAGTGAATTTATGTTAATGGGGAAGAACAACTCAGAAAAGGAAGGTGGAAATGGTTGCACAATTCAAAGAATGTAATCAATGTCACTAAATTGTTACATGTAGAAACTGCTGAATTGGTGTATGTTTTGCTGTGTAAATTCTTAATAGGAATCGCTCGAATATTAATTGAGATGTTTCAACAAATGGAATCATCACTGGAAGCACTGACTTGTCTATGCCAAGAAGTTTAGAAGACAGCTATCAGGCCAACTAACTGGAAGAGAGCCATATACATGCTCAATCCAAAGAAAGGTGATGCAATGGAATGTGGACATTGCCAAACAATATCAGTAATATGACAGGTAAGTAAACTTTTGCTGAAGATAATTCAAAAACAGTTGCAGCAGTACATTGATAACTGTCAGAAACTGAAATCAGATTCAGAAGAGGATATGGAATGAGAGGTATCACTGCTGATGTCACATGTATCTTGGCTGAAAGCAGGGAATATCTGTAAGATGTTTACCTGTGTTTTATTCAAAGGCATTTAGTGTGGATCATAACAAACTATGATCGACACTGCAAAGTACAAGAATTCCAGAACATCACCCAAATCCTAATAAAAAAAAAAAAAGAATTCCAGAACACTTAATTGTGCTCATGAGAAATGTGTAGATAGACCAAGAGCCAGTCATTCATACAGAACAAGGGGATATGGCATGGTTTAAAATCAGGAAAGGTATGCGTCAGGGTTGTATCCTTTTGCCACATTTATTTGACATTTATGCTGAACCAATAATTTGACAAGTTGGACTATGCGAAGAACAATGCAGCATCAGGATTGGAGGAAGACTTATTAACAACCTGTGATATGCAGATGATACATACTGAAAGCAAAGAGGACTTGAAGCACTTACTGATGAAGATCAAAGACTACGTACAGCTTTCAGTATAGATTACACCTGAATGTAAAGAAATGAAAATCTTCACAACTGGACCAACAAGCAACATCAGGGTAAACGGAGAAAAGATTAAAGTTATTAACACCTGGAAGCAGCAGTCAAGAAATCAAATGACGTATTACATTGGGCAAATCTGCTAAAGACCTCTCCTTAAAGTGTTAAAAAGCAAAGATATCACTTTAAGGACTAAGGTGCACCTGACCCAAGCCATGGTATTTTCAATTGCCTTATATACATGAGAAAGCTGGACAATAAATAAAGAAGAAGGAAGAAGAATTGATGCATTGGAATTATAGTGTTGGTGAAGAATACTGAATATATAATACACTGCCAGAAGAATGAACAAATGTGTCTTGAAACAAGTACAGCCAGAATGTTCTGTAGAAGTGAAGATGGTGAGACTTACTTTGGACCTATTATCAGGAGGGTCTGGACTTTGGAGAAGGACATCATGCTTGGTAAAGTAGAGGGTCAGCAAAAAAAGAGGAAGACCCTCAACAAGATGGATTGACACAGTGGCTACAACAAAGGGCTCAAACATAGCAAGGGTCATGATGATATGGTGCAGGACTGGCAGCATTTTGTTCTGTTGTGCACAGGGTTGCTATGAATTGGAAATAACTCAAGGGCACCTAACAACAACACTTACCAGTACTTATTTCTCCTAGAGATGTATGAATATTAATACATGTGCGCAAGACTATATAAACTCCCTGGTTAAAATTCTGTAACTGTTTTTGATTCCCCAAGCTCACCTTGCTTACTCTTTGTATCTTTGATCAAACAATTTATTCTCTCTGCCTTAATTCCTTTGCCTCTTGCAAATCTAGTAAGCTATTATTAACTTTTCAATACCAAATCAAATATCAGGAGCTCTGGTAGCATAGTGGCTAAGGCACTTGACTGCTAACCAGAAGGCTGGCAGTTCAAACCCACCAGCCACTCCTCAGAAGGAAGGTTGGGGAAGCTACTTCCGTAGTGATACTGCCTCGGCAACCCAAGGAGGGGTCGCTATGAGTCAGGCCGACTCGACAGCACATAACAACAACAACAACAATCAAATATCACTCATTCTTAGAAGCCTTCCCTATACGTCTTTTGAAGAATTAGTTCCTTTATCTCCTACTTCTGTACCATAATACATCCTTAAATTGTTATATTCAGCTTGTAATATTAAGCCATTTATTCTTTCTACTTATTTGTACAAGCAGTTTCCTCTACATGTGACATTCTTTTCACTATTCTTCGCTTGTCTAATTTAGACGTACTCTCTAGAAATGATCATCCAAACATTCAGAATAAGCTAAGTGCCCCTTCTTTATACCACCATATCCCTTTCTTCATAATGTTCTTTAAAAAAAAAAAAAAAAAAAACCTTTTTAACGTGATTTGGGTGAAATTTCACAACGTAATATTCTTTTTAAAACCCCCATATTCCTAAAATGACCTGTTAATGTCTCTATGTCCCTCACTGAAGAGTAACTTGATAGCTGTCACATGTGGTATAAAGAAGGGGCACTTAGCTTATTCTGAATGTTTGGATGATCATTTCTAGAGAGTACGTCTAATGCATTTCCTTCAGGCACATTCTTATTACAATGCACAATCCTATGACATAGGCACAATCTCCTTCATCCTTTACTACCCTGCTGAAGAGTACCAGGTTAGATTGTAGGCTCATTCCTTTTTTGTACTTGTAAGGCCTAGCAAAATGTCTGACATTCAGTAGTCACACAAGGAGTATATTTACTGTATGGACATGTAAGATTTAAGCAATAATAAAAAAGAAAGTGGCATGTAACAAAATAAATAACACAAGCTTGTTTTTTACTTTAACAACTTACGTTCTGGTTGTTTTTCGTTGGGTGTTATGGATCGCACAAAATCTTGTGGAGTCATAAATACTTCAGAGTCACCAGGCTCATTGATTACTTTCAAGGTGGCAAAATACCGGAAGATTTTGTCTGGTGTAGAGTAGGCTCGAATCCTATTCTCATATTCCATCACCTGAAATCAGAAATTTAGAGAGTGCTACTATATCAAGCAATATTCATTCTCAAATATTTCCCACCTTATTTTTTTGGGAAATTTTATTACATATATATTTTTTACTATAACACTATTTTTTTTATATGAAAAATAAACTTGATTTTCAAAAACTGTTGAATCTCTTTCTTGCTATATGCTATTCATACTCCAGTTGATGGAACAGACCATCAACTGCTCATATGCAAATTCAACTTGAAGTTATAGATAATTAAAACAAGTCTAAGAGAGCCAAAGTATGATCTGGAATATATCCCTCCTGAATTTATAGATCATCTAAAGAATAGATTTGATGCATTGAACACCAACGACCAAAAGCCGGATGGGAAGATATCAAGAACATTATCCATGAAGAAAGCAAGAGATCACTAAAAAGACAAGAAAAGAAGAGAAGACCAAAGTGGATGACAGAAGAGACTC